CTCTCTCCTTGGCGATTCTGCGCCTCAGGGGACATTTCTGGTGGTTACAAATTGTGGGTGGGGTTGCTGCTCTCAGGCAGCCAGGGACGCTGCTTGCTGTTAAACATCCTACATTGCACAGGACAGTCCCCACAACAAAGAATTGTCAGTAGTGCCTGGGTAGGGAAACCCTGGTGTAGGGCCTTAAAATCTCTGAAGTTCTGAATAAACTATATACGTTATTTAAAATTCAACTGAGTCACTTATCGGGCCTCTAAGTGACAAGACAAGTTTACAGCGTCTGGAGTCACCATAAAATTTTTCTCCAGCCACATGAGTTGAGCAAGTCAAATGCACACTGCGTTAGCTGCCTTCTCCCGTCTTGGGGAGCAGATGGTTTGATAGGAATCAGGTACATCCAGTTATTCCCAATAGGTTGAGTCCTTACCACACGTTAAGTCAGTAATTTTTTTTTTGAAAGGTGAATGGAGTGGTCTAACAGCTACAACTGTGTTATTCACTATAAAAAGCCTCAAAAGCAATCTTTGTGTGTGCGTGGTTTTTTTCAGGCAAGAAAAGCATTATTCAAGCTCAGATTTGTGTTGAAACCAGCCTCCTGTCCACCTGTCTTCACTGATCCGTTTTGTGTGACCAGGTGAGTACCATGTGGAACTAGCAGTGACAGGATTCCAGCAGGGTTCTGCTGTGTAGAAGAACAGCTAATGAGCTTTTCCTGTGCTCAGGTCGTATACACGATGAGTCACTAGGAATGAGGATGTCATAAGAAAAATTTTATTTGATGGGTTATGTTCAGGGTAGAAATATTAAGATGTGTATAGTTATGTATGTGTTAAAAGTCAGTAAATACAGTTATGTGCAAATAAGTACATACAGACAAACGTAAATAAATAAAAATATGTGTAACTAAAGAAATACAGATTTTCTTACATGCCATAATAAAAATTTCGGGATTTTATATAAGTATAAATATATAAACATTTTACTTGTATATGTGGTATTACAAGTCTTCCCACTAAATACTAGCACGACTACTCAGCAACATTCTTCAGACCTGTTTGACTTAACTTGTAAAGACCTATACATCTTCCACAAAGCTTCAAAATAATAGGGACATCTAGGGAAAAGATGATTTGCGCTTCCTTATATTAGTATCAGAAATTTAAAATTGAATTGTCCAGCAGCCAAATGTGTTTTGAGCAAGTGAATTTTTTTCTTAATGAAATTTAAATTCATTTGGATGGGGCTGGCCAGTTAGATCAGTTGGTTAGAGCGCAGTATTATAACACTAAGGTCAAGGGTTTAGATCCCTGTACCGGCCAGCTGCCAAAAAAAAAAAAGGTCATTTGGAGGAATATTAAGCAACAAGTTGTAGATTGAAGGATAGGACACTAGTTTCCAAAAAGATGTCCTCAGCCCTTTGTCTCCTAATAGAAATTAACTTGATTTCTTAAAACTTCTTTGAAATGACAGCATGGTGATTCATATTACAGAGAATAATGTTAAGTAATCTTATATTTAATTGTGGGGTTTTAATTGTGTGTTTGTGCCTTTGTCATTATAGCTTTCTATAACATTCTTGAGGGAATGTTTGCTTATCATGCAGTAGATATTTTTTGAGTGCACAGTTTATGGTGACCAACCATCCCTGTTCAGGACTGAGGTTGGCCACTACACAGGGAATTCAGTGTTCAAACTAGGACAGTCCTAAGCAAACAAGGACAGTTGGTCACCTCCATGAGTTAGACCCTGGACCAGATTCACAGGGACCCTGGAAAACCAAAACAGACCTTGTTCTGCCTCCATAGAGTTCTCATTCTAGCAGGGAAAATGGATTTTTAACAATGAATGACAAGAGTGATGCAATAGATTAGCAGAAGAAGATTCAGTTTGGGGGAACAGGGGAGCCCTCTTGGGAAGGACTGACATTTACCTTGAGAGCTGAAGTTGGGGTCAGATTTAGTTAGTCATAGGGCTAGACTGCAGTGAGGGGACAGGGCTGTGTTTAAGAGAGCACTGCATGTCTAGGGAATTGCATAAGGAAAGCTCCTGAAGCAGGAGAGGGCCTGGTGTGCTCCATGAACTGGAAAGACGGGGATGTCTGAAGCCAAGACAAACAAGGGGAGAAGGGTGTAAGCCAGACCAGAGAGGGAGGCAGAACCAAACCAGGTGTCACTCTGGACTCTGTTCTAAGGCCAATGGGAAGACACCAAAGAGATGTGGGCAGGAGGATGATGTGATTTGCATTTAGTCTAAATACTTGGGTTAAAATGGACTTCGGGATTCAGAAAGAAGTCTTGTAAGAGGCAAGGTAAATGTTGTTAGAAAGAAGTGTAGGAATTAGATGATTGTTCCCTAGGCCAGGATGATGATTGCAGAGTAGGAAAGAAGTCGAAAGATGAGATCTGGGAGTTTAGAACTGAGAGAGTGTGATGATGCTCTCTCATTCATGCGTGCGATTGTCAGGTGGTGCAGTGCGCTTACTGCACTCCTAGCTCCTGTCTGTGCAAACCTGCAGGCAGTCCCCTAACCCAAAGCCCTGTGCACACTCTCACTTTGCCACTCATAGGGCCCTTCCTCCACATCCTAAAGGAACTCGAGTCTGACTATGACTAGGGCTGCCCTGTCCACTGTGGGAGACACTAGCCACACATGGAACTATTTCAGTTAAACCAATGAAAATTAAACACAATTAAAAATTAATTTTTTCAGTTGCACTAGCCACATTTCAAGTGCACACATATCTACCATATTGGACAGAGCAGAATTATAGAACATGTCTCTCACCAAAAGTTCTGTTGGCCCATCTGCTGTGACCATCTCCTGGTACTGACGTATCCAGGGCAGGGCAGGAGTCACTGGATCTGTAAACTAAACAGAGACGCTCTCCTGCCCTAATAGGAGATTTCAGCTGCCAGACAACCTTGAAGGGGGACTCAGGACCTGAAAATGTCTCAGGCACCTTCTCTACCTCCTTTCCTCTTGGGAGGCACAGTGAACTGGCTGGATCCCAACCCTTCTCCCACTCCATGGCTTAATGACTAAAACTACACCTAAGTGCAAATTGGGTCCCTGGTGGGAAGAAGGGAGACATCCTCCACCCATAGAGGGCAGGGAAGTGCTGGGGTCTCACAGAGGCCTCAGGGAAAGTTTGATGTGAGAGGTGATGCTAGTTTCCTATTGCTGCTGTAACGAATTACCACAAGTTTAGTGACTTAAAACAACACAATTTATTCTCTTGCCGTTCTGGAGGTCAGAAATCCTAAATGGGTTGGCAGGGCTGCGTTGTTTCTAGAAGCTCTAGAGGAGAATCTATCTTCTGCCTTTTCCACCTTCTAGAGGCCACCTGCATTCCTTGCCTGTGGCTCCTTCCTCCAGCTTCAAAGCCAGCAGGGCAGCATCTTCAAATTTATATTTCTGCCCACAACTCCCCCCTCACCTCTGCTTTCTTCATCACATCTACTTCTGTGACCCTAATTCTCCTGCCTCCCTTTTATAAGGACCCTGTATTATCCAGGATAATCTCCCCATCTCAAGGTCCTCACTTAAATCACATCTGCAAACTCCTTTTTGCCATGTAATGTCACATATTCACGGGTGCTAGGGATTAGAACATGAACACCTTTGGGTCAGAGACAGATTTATTAATCTGCCTACCACAGAGGTTCAAGAGTCAAAGACTCCATGCAACTCTATTTTTTCACATGGCCCACCATCACTCTATTTCTAATGCCCCATCTGCCCACACGCAGCCTTCACTGCTTTTAGTTTTGGGGTGCAGGAAGGTCACACGTAGAAACCTCAAGAAGCTGGTTTTAGGGAGTTATATTTTATTCTATAATTCCAGGGAAAGGAGGCCTTTCTTGTAGAAAGAAAACATTCTATACAACTGCTTTGTACCTTTATTTATTTATTTTTTTCCTTAAATTTATGGAGATAATAATACTAATAATACCTAGATATCGATGCAGGTTTGTTTGTTTTTTGGCTGCATATTTCTTTAGTCTGTGGATATCCCATAGTTTATTCAGTTAGTCACCTATTGATGGTCATTTGTGTTATTTTCAATCCTTTGCTATTATAAATAATGCCACAGTGACTCATCTTACATGTGTCGTTTAGTATTTGTATATCTTTGAGACAGATTCCTAGAAGTGGGATTGATAAGGAAAGAGTAAATGTTTTTGCAGCTTTGCTTGACATTGACAAATCCTCTTCCATAGGAGTCGTACCCAGCAGTGTGTGAAAATACCTTTCCATGCGGTCTTGCCAAAAAAGAGTGTGGTCCACTGTCTTTTTTGATCTGACCGATCAGAAATAGTGTCAGCGTAGTTGCAATCTGCATCTTCGTTATTGCGAATTAGGTCATCAGTGATTCTGCCAAGGGTATTGTCCTTGAAATGGCAGTGGTGGAAACCAGATTGTACCATGAAGAATGACTGGGGTGTGAGGAAAGGAGACAGAGAGTAAAAAACTTCAGCTGCTATAAAAGACAGAGACTGGGAAGTAACTGGAAAGAAAACTGCTCTGAGGATAGGTAATGATACTGGATCACAGTTGAATGGTGTGGGGAAGAGTCCAGTAGAGTGGGAGAGCTTGAAGGGAAAAGACAGATGAGAGATTAAGAGTGTATAGCTCCTTGGAAGCAGGGCGTGGACCACACAGCAGAGCTGCTGAGCAGGGCCCTGTGGAAAGGGGAGACAGCTCCTTATCTAAGAAGAGGAAAGCAGGATGCACATTGTAGTTTTGGTGGCCAGACAGGAAGGTAGATTCCTTCTCGTGATTGTTACCTTGAAAAGTAGGATGCAGGATCATCTACAGAAAGTGAGATGATTCGTTATCAGTTGCTGCCTAACAAATGATCCCAACCTGTAGTCACTTAAAACAACAATAATCATTTATCATCTCTCCCACTTTTCATGGGTCAGGAATTCAGGAGCAGCTTGGCCAGAAGGTTTGGCTCAGGCCTTCCTGGAGGTTGCAGAAGCCTGTGAAGTGGGACTGCGTCATCTGAAGTCTCTCCTAGTGCTCAAGGATTCACTTCTAAGGAGTTTGTGCCTGTGTCTAGCAAGTAGCTGCTGGCTATTGACAGGAGGCCTCAGTTCCTCTCCATGTAGGCCTCTCCATGGGGCTGCTGGTACATCTTCACAACATGGCAATTGGCTTCCCCTAGAACAAGCACCCAGAAGACCAAGGCAGAAGCTGCGTTTCTTCTAGGACCCAGCCTTGGAAGTCACTCACTGCCACCTCTGCAGTATTCTGCTGGTTGCACAGGTGAGTCCTAATTCAGTGTATGTGTCAGGGGTCTGCACAAGGGTATGGATCATTGAGGGCTATTTTGGAAGCAGGTTATCACAGAGGGAAAAGGTGAGGGCGCTTGAGATTTTAAAGTGATTAGAGAAGGTTTGATGAGTGGGAAGCCACGTTGACCTGTGGGATTACCATACAGGGTAAGGGACTCGTCACATTGGTGACCATGTTTTTCTAGAAGTGACAGTATCACAGCCATTGTGCAGGCTGGTCTACCTAGATGTTGCCAGGAAGCAGGCAGAGGATTGGAATCATGCCTGGCTGGAGTTCTGCTGGGCTGGTGTAAAGCTGGGGGTAGGAATAGGGACATGTGTTGAAATAAGGGACAGTGAAATCCAAGCCAGGTAAGTATGAAGTGGGGAGAGGAGGTGGCTGATGAAGAGCAAGACAGCAGGAGTGTGGTGGACAGAGGCATTTGTGTGGTCAGTAGACACATGTGGTGAGGGAAAAAGATGAGTGAACACGGTAGAAGTTAAGAAGGGAGGTTGGGTTCAGAGAGAGAGGTTTCTGATCTGTTGTCCCTGATGGTGGAACAGAGCCATGGATGACAAAGGACAGGTGGGACCCATGGGAATGTGTGGCCAAGAGGGGGTGGGTGCAGAGGGCTCTACAGGTGAGGAGCTCCTGATGGCATCCACGTGAGGTGGGAGCGGAGGCTGAAGGAATAATGGGAGTCGGTGCCAAAGTCTCTAGGGAATGAGGGGTTGTAGCCGGGAACATTTGTGACAATTTGGATGGGAAGAATGTGCCATGAAACTCATGAAGCCAAGGTTTTCCAAGTGAGCGGACCAGTGGTGTTGGTCATACCACTGGGGACAGAGGAAGACAAGTTTTATCATCATATAGCCCTGAATTCATCACCTGCTAAGCAGAATAAAGGCCCAGTATGGAAAACAGAACTTGCATTTTGAAGGAGGACCTGAGGGACAGGCTGAGAGGACCTGTCTTCAGCAGCCCAGGGAGGGGGTGGGGCTGGGAAGACTTATTTTCCCGTTTATTCCAGAGTGCTGACCTGAGTGTCCTGCAGGAATAAGAGGAGGAGCTTCCTGCTTCTCCCACTTCCTGGTATTCAGGAACCTTTGCTGTCAGAGTGACAGGATGGCGACCATTGTCCTGCGCCCATCTTGTGGTGAGTCATTGGGTCCTGCAGCCCTCAGAGTCCAAGCTTTAAAGGCCCCCAACTCGCAGAGTGGGTATGGAAGAGGAGGGGGCCAAGCAGCTGTGGGGGAGGGTTGGGCAGAGCAGGTGATGCAGGGTGGAGCCCCAAGAGCCTAGAGGTCACTGGTGTCTAGAACTTGGGACTTAGGTATTCATCCATCTATGGCTGAATTCACCTGTGTGGTGAATGTGTGGGAGCTTTTGAATTATAGTGGTCCCCCCTTATTTGTGGGGGATACTTTCCAAGACTCCCAGTGCATGCCTGAAACCATGGATAAGTAATGAATTTTATATGCACCATGTTTTTTTCTTATGTATACATACCTATGATAAAGTTTAATTTAAAATTAGGCACAGAAAGAGATTAATAATAATAACTACTAATAAAACAGAACAATGATAATATACTGTAAGAAAAGTTATGTAAATATGCATGCTTGCTCACTCACTCAGAATATCTTAATATTTTCAGACCACAAAACTGCAGAAAGCAAAACCATGGATAAGGGGGGACTGCTGTATACTTTTCTTCCTATAAACATAATGAACACAGTGATGCTCTGAGAACCTCAGTTTTCTCATCTGTGATATGGGAATAATCCCTTCCTCAAGTGCAGCCAGACTCTTGAGCCTTGTATTCTGCTCCGGTTTCTTAAGAAAGCTGTGGGGGCTGGAGGTTTTCGTGTGGGCGTGCTGGGATGTGGTCCATCACAGGTAGGGGGAAGCCTCCAGATCTGCAAGTGTCAGAACACAGGTCAAGCCTGGATCCCTGTGACCTGTTTCTTCTTCTCCAGCTCGGTCCTCCTTGTACCTGACATCTCAGCAGAAAGGACACACAGAGGAGGAAGGGCTGGTTGATGAGCTCCTGACAGGCTGGTTACAGGTGAATCAAATATTCCTTTGTCCACGTTATTACTCCTTTGACCAGGAGTTGGACTGTGACCTTTCAGTGGCCTGGAGCCTCACAGCCAAGCAAGGTCCTCGGGCATCCCAGGATCTCTGGGCATCTGATGGAGGATGAATGCTGCCTAGAAAATGTCAGTGAATGTCAATGTTTACTTCATGTTTAAAGCATCCTCTAGGAGCCGGCCCGTGGCTTGCTTCGGAAAGTGTAGTGCTGATAACACCAAGGCCATGGGTTCTGATCCCTATATAGGGATGGCCGGTTAGCTCACTTGGGAGAGCATGGTGCTGACAACACCAAGTCAAGGGTTAAGATCCCCTTACCAGTCTTCTTTTCAAAAAAAGAAAAAGCACCCTCCAGGGTCACTGTGTACATCATGTATTCCTGAGTACAATGGAAAGCCAAGTAAAGACATGGCTGTGTTATAACTCAAGCAATTGATGATGGCCATTGGGAAATCATCATTTACCAAGTACTCGTGTGATTTCCACAGTGTCCCAGGCCTGTGTGTTCAGCTTTGCAGATGAAGAGAAATAAGATTGCAGGAGCTCGCAGTCTGATGGAAAGAGAAAATCATTGTGTGTTAGGGTGCATTGGACCGTAGGAGTAGCCCTGAGTAGGCTAGAGATGGAAGTTGAAAGCTGAGCCCAGAAGCCAGTGAGAAAAGCACTCAGAACACTGCCCACACATCTTGTACTCTGTGCTCCTTGTCCCTCATCTGTCATCCTTGACTCTCTTCCTGTTCGTGTTGGTGGGGGTGATCCTTCTCTAAGCTGTGATGTTTGCGATGGTTTAGGACCTGGTGACCTTTGAGGATGTGGCTGTGGAGTTCACCCAGGAGGAGTGGGCATTGTTGGACCCTTCTCAGAGAACACTGTACAGGGATGTGATGCTGGAGAACTGTAGGAACCTGGCCTCACTTGGTAAGCCTGACGTCACTCCTGCATCTATTTAATGACTCAGTAACAAGACTTTCCTTTGCTTCTCATTGTTTTATCGAGGTAAAATTCACCATTTTAACCATTTTAAAATGTATAATTCAGTGGCTTTTAGTATATTGAGAGTGTTGTGCAACCATCAACACTATCTAATTTCAGAATATTTTTATCACCCCTAAAAGAAACCCCATCCCCATAAAGCAGTTGATACTTATTATGTTTCCCACCTGCTACCACTGGTAACCACTAATCTGCTTTCTGTCTGTATGAGTTTACCTATTCAGAACATTTTACATGAATGGAATCATAAAATATGTGACCTTTTATATCTGAATTCTTTCATGTAGCATAATATTTTAAAAGTTTAGCTATATTGTAGCATGTATCAGCATTTCATTCCTTTTTATGACCAGTAGTACTGCATTGTATGAACATACAAGATTTTGTTTATCCAGTGGTTGAAAAACATTCGGATTGTTTCTAATTTTTGATATTTTGAATAGTACTGCTATCAATATTTGTGTACAAGTTTTTGTTTAAACACCTGATTTTAATTCTCTTGTGTATATACCAAAGAGTAATGCTAGGTCATGGGATATTTCTGTGTTTAGCTTTGTTAGAACTGGCAAACTTTTTTCCACAACAGCTGCACCATTTTACATTCCCACCGATGCATGAGGATTCCAGTACTCTCCACATCTTCACCAACACTTGTCTTTTTGATTATAGCCATTTTAGTGGATGTGAGGTGGTATCTCGTTGTTTTGATTTGCATTTCCATAATGACTAATGACAATGAGCATCCTTATTTTGTTGTTAAAGATCTCAATTGGCTTTATTGTGATTCTAGAATCAGGCAACATGGCATTTCAAAAAATAGAATAAGTGTTCCTGAGGATCTTTTTAATGTACTTTTTGGCTACTTGTATATCTTCTTTAGAGATATGTCTATTCAAGTCCTTTACCCATTTTTTAATTGGGTTGTTTTTCTTTTTGTTGTTTTCTTGTAAAAGTTTGTTATGTATTCTGGATACTAGACCCTTATATGAAATACAAATAATTTCTCCATTCTTTGGTTATCCATTTTTCATTTTCTTGATTGTGTCCTTTGATGCACAAAAATTTGCATTTTGATGAAGTCCAGTTTATCAAGGTTTTCTTTTCTTGGCTTGTGTTTTTGGTATCATACCTAAGATACCTAGGAAACCATTGCCAAAACCAAGGTTATGAAGATTTCCCCTGTTTTCTTCCAAGAATTTTCTAGCTTTAGCTCTTACATTTAGGTATTTGATCTATTTTGAGTTAATTTTGCATATCGTATGGAGAAGGGATGTGTATATCCAGTGTTCCAGCACCTACCTATGTAGTAGAGACTGTTCTTTCCCCATCAAATGGTTTTCCCTTGTTGAAAATTATTTGACCATAGACACCAGAGTTTCTGTATTCTCAGTTCTATTCCATTGGTCATATATGTCTGTCCCTGTCTACTCCACTGGACATGTATGTCTATCCTTCTGCCAGGATCATACTGTCTGGATAACCATTGCTTTGAGGTAAATTTTGATGTTAGGAAGTGTGAGTCTTCCTACCTTTTTCTTTTTAAACACTGTCTTGTCTACTTGGAATTCCTTGCAATTCCATGAATTTTAGGGTGTCCTTTTATACAAAGAAAAAGCTATTGGAATTTTGATGGTGATTGCATTATCTCTGTAGATTGTTTTAGGTAGTATTATGGTAATTGAAAGGTGGGGCCTTGAAGAGATGATTAGATTGTGAAGACCTTGCCATAGTGAATGGATTAATCCATTTGATGGTGTAATGGCAGTTGTGGGCGTGGTTCTGAGGGCTTTAAAAGGAGAATGCGTGAGGAACTGTCTCTTTGCTGTACCATTCTGATTCCCTTCTCTTTCTCTTTTTTTTTTTTTTATGTTTTTTAGTTATTTTCTTAGTGGTTGCCCTGGGGATTACAGTTAACGTTTTAATTTATAGCAACCTAGTTTGACTTAATAACAATTTAATTTCAAAAGTGTACAGAAACTTTGCTTCTATGTAGCTGTGTCTCTCCCCTTAGTTGTTTTTATCACAAATTACATCTTTATGCATGTGTGCCTATTAATGTAGATATGTAATTATTGCTTTAGGCATTTGTGTTTAAATCATGTAGAAAAAAAAGAGAGGTAACAAACCAAAAGTACATTATCATTGACTTTTATATTTATCTCCGTATTTACTTTTACTGGTGTTATTTCTTTGTATGTGTACAAGTTATTATCCATTGTCTTTGCATTTTAGTCTCAAGGTTTCCCCTTAGCATTTTTTTAAGGTAGATGTACTAGTGACAAACACTTGGTGTTTGTATATGGAAATATCTTCATTTCTTCCTTATTTTTGAAGGACAGTTTTTTCAGACATAGAATTCTTGGTTGACCTGTTTCTTTCAGCACTTTGAATATATCATCCCAGTGCCTGGTGGTCTCCATGGTTTCTGATGAGAAATTAACTGGAAACCTTACAGAGGATCCTGTGTTTATCATGAGTCACCTCCCTCTTGCTCCTTCTAGGATACTGTCTTTGTCTTTCAGCAGTTTGATTAACAGGTGTTACAGTGTGGATCTCTGTCTCTTTGAGTTTATCCTACTTAGGTTTGTTGAGCTTCTTGAATTTCTACATTTGTGTCTTTTATCACGTCTGGGGACGTTTTTAGCCATTATTGCTTTAAATATTCTTTCTGCTCCTTTCTCTCTTCCCTATGTCAATGACTCCCATTATGTTTATGTTGGTATGTTTAATGGCATCCCACAGGTCTCTTGGGCTCTGTTCTTTTTTTTTTTTTTTTTCCCTCTCTTTCTACCCTTCAGACTAGGTAGTACCAGTTGTCCTATGTTCATGGTTACTAATTTGTTAAGCCCTTCTTCCGAGTTTTTCATTTCAGTTTTTGTACTTTTCAAATCCAAAGTTTCTATCTGGCTTCTTTTTGTAATTTCTATCTTTTTTTTTATGTTTTCTATTTGATGAGAATTTGTTCCCATGGTTTTCTTCATTTCTTTATACATGGTTGCCTTTAGGTCTTTGAACAAATATTAAGTAGTTGGTTTATTTCTTTTGTCTAGTAAGTCCAATGTTTGGGCTTCCTTAGGAACAGTTTCTACCAATTTCTTTTTTCATCTAATGAGGTATATGCTTTTGTTTCTTTGCCCTGCTCATAATTATTTTGTTGAAAACTGGACATTTGGAATATATAACATAGCAGTTCTGGAATCAGACTTTTCCCCATCTCTGGAGTTTTTTGTTGTTGCTTGTTGTAGTTGGTGTTGTGTGTATCTTTAGTGATATTTCAGAACTAATTTTGTAATGTCTGTATTTGCCCTGTGTGGTCACTAAAGTCTCATTTCTATTAGCTTAATGGTCATCTAATAATTTGTCTGAGATTTCTTTGAGGGCCTTGAATCAAAACACAAAAAACTCTGTCTCTTCAGATGGGTTCTATGTGTACGTAGAAGCACACCTTCAGAACTTAGCTGGGCAATTTATAACTGCCTTAGCCTTCACTTCCTGCTTGTGCAGATTCTGAAGGTCAGCCACAGGTGAAGTTTAGTGCCCTCTGAGGTCTTTTATGAGCATGCGCCTAGCCCTGGGTTTGTGTGCAGCATTCCAGATTCCTAGGAATATGAGAGAGCTTTTCACAGCCCCATTCCCCAAACGTCTTTTCCCCCACTTTTCTTCCCAGGCTTTTTGGTTAGTGTTTTGTTTGCTTCTGCTGTTTTCTCTTGGCTCAGGCAGTATTGACTGACTAATATATGTCTTTAAATGTATTCATCACATGTGTCCTGGGTAGCTAGCTCAGGCCTCAGAGCGTTTGGAGTTAAATAAAAGCAAGTCCTTTGAGCTAGTCCTTCAGGGAGTCACCAGACAGGTCCAAAGAAACAACCACAGGATGAAAAAAGAAATAAAAACCACAGAATAAGGTGCGTTCTGCTCCCTTCACTACTAGGAATGTGGGCTCTTGTCCTCCAGGTCATGGCCAAAGCAGGGGAAAGAGGATGGGCTGTGGTCAGTTAAAATGTCATAAAGTTCTCTTACACAAATTCAGCTGCAATTTCTTCTTCATTAGGCATTCTAGCGGTTGCTGTAAACTTTTCATATGTTTCCAGAGTTCCAATAAAATTGATCATGATGGGTTTTGCCAGTTTATTTGTTTTGTGTGTGTGTGTGTGTGTGTGTGTGTGTGTGTGTGTAGGAACAGACTCCACAAAAGTTTTCTACTCCACAGTTTTCACTGTTGTCATTTCTCACAAGTTTTCCGAAGCACCTCTGTGTTTCTAGTTCTGTGCAGGTGGTTGAGAATACAGTAGTGAACAAGACAAGCATGGTCCCCACCCTCACAGAGCTAATGCTCTCCCTATGAACTGAATATCTGTTTCTTGACCTGACTTTATATTCTTTATGGTTAAAAGTTTTGGGGCTTCTGAAGTGTGTATTTCAACTTAGGCATGGGCTTCTGGGACTATTTGTGCCCTATCACCCTGAAAATTGAGTTGAGGATGACTGCATTTTTGTTCCTTGAGAGAGTTACTATATTTGCTAGAATTTATTAGAATCTAGATGTAATTATTCCCTTGTTCCTACACTCACACTTTTCCACCTTCAGAAGTGTTGACTTCAGTTTCATGGAGCTGCTTGTCCCCTGCACAGTCCCCCTCTATCATGTGTATTTTCTTTATACATAGGGTGTCATGTTGATAAACACAGTCTGATATCCCAGTTGGAGCCAGAAGACAAGATGATGACAGAGGAGAGAGGAATCCTCCCAGGCCCCTGTCCAGGTGAGCACCAGATGGCTATGAGCCCTTTGGAGGAATAGCTCTGGCTAGTGACTTGGGGGATTGGAATGTTACATTAGTTAATGTCAATCAGAGAACTTTGTAAAACGCACCTGTTTCTGACAAAGATAGACAAGAACATTTGTTTTAAGCTTCCTTGTGTACTTTCTTTTTTCTTTAACTTTCTGTTCATTATCTCATACTTTCCTTTGACCTCAGGAGAGAAACAAAGACACAGCTCTTTTCTGTTTTAAATTTTAAATCTAATCCCTTTTGTCAATTTCTGATCAATCCCAATCATTCTGGAATTTTTTAATTGATATCTAAATCTTCCATAACCAAGTTCTCCTTATTGCAGACCTCCTCAAAAATCCTTATCCTTGAGAGTCCACTTTTACCCATGTGTGCACTTCACCATATCTTTTCTCTGTCAACCTAAATTTCTTTTGTTTCAGATTTGGAGTCTCTACTTAAAGCCAAATGGTTAATGCCGAAGAAGCATGTTTTTAGAAAAGAACAATCTAAAGGTGTAAAAGTGGTAAGACTAATATGGATGATTTCTGGTTTTCCACAGTAGGGGAATGCCATAGTTAGAAAAAAAACAAAATTACCAGGAAAGTCATTAAAGGAAGGTGCCATTTACACTGAGGAGTGTTGACCCTGGAGAGATACTGTGAAACTGTTGTGAATTTGGAGAAAAGTATTAGTTGCAAACTTGTTTCTTCACTGAGAGTTTTCACAAGTAAATATTTCCTTAAATGTGACTATTTGAAACATAAATTGGTCTTAAATTTATCAGAAAATGTTTTGTGAAGATGATGAGGACTGTGGAAAAGCATCTGTTGTTTAACATCTGGGAATTTAAACTGGGCAGAAGCCGTATGTAAGCGTTGAAAGTAGCCAAAACATCATTTATAGGAATGTAACAGAATTCCTGGGGGAGAGAATGCATATGACAGTATTAAATATTAAAAATATTATACATTATAGATGTCATTAATCTCTTAATCGACAGGAAAGAAGTCATCGTGGAGTGAAACTCAATGAATGTAATCAGTGTTTTAAAGTCTTCAGCACGAAATCTAACCTTACTCAGCACAAAAGAATTCATACTGGAGAAAAACCCTATTACTGCAATCAATGTGGAAAATTCTTCAGCAGTAGATCTTACCTTACTATTCATAAGAGAATCCATAATGGGGAGAAACCCTATGAGTGCAATCACTGTGGGAAAGCATTTAGTGATCCCTCATCTCTTAGACTACATGTGAGAATTCACACTGGAGAAAAACCTTATGAATGTAACCAGTGTTTCCATGTCTTTCGCACTAGTTGTAATCTCAAAAGCCACAAGAGAATTCATACGAGGGAGAATCACCATGAATGTAATCAGTGTGGAAAGGCTTTCAGCACAAGGTCCTCCCTTACTGGGCACAATACCATTCATACAGGAGAGAAACCTTATGAATGCCATGACTGTGGGAAAACCTTCAGGAAGAGCTCATATCTGACACAGCACATGAGAACTCATACTGGAGAAAAACCCTATGAATGTAATGAGTGTGGGAAATCCTTCAGCAGTAGTTTTTCTCTTACTGTGCACAAGAGAATACATACAGGAGAAAAACCCTATGAATGCAGTGACTGTGGGAAAGCCTTTAATAATCTCTCAGCTGTTAAGAAACACTTGAGAACTCACACTGGAGAAAAGCCCTACGAGTGTAATCATTGTGGAAAATCTTTTACTAGTAACTCTTACCTTTCTGTGCACAAGAGAATACATAATAGGTGGATATGAGTTACTGCGGGAATTTCTGTGGGAAAGTGCTCATTGATCTCATCTGTAAGACAACATGAGAGAACTCACACTGGATGTATAAATTATCTGTTGCTGCCTAACAAATTACTCCCCAAAACGTAGCTTCATACAACAAACAGTTATTATTATAATTTCCAGAAATGGCTTAGCTCTGTAGTTCTGTCTGACGGTCTCTCATTAGGTTGCAGTCAAGGTGTCAGCCAGAGCTGCAGTCCTCTAAAGTCTTTACTGATGGAGGGTCCACTTTCAAGATGACTCATTCACATTCCTGGAAAGTTAATGCTGGTTATTGGCAGGGGATCTTCAGTTTCCCACCATTTAGGCCTATCCACAGGGCTGAGTTTCTTTACAATATGGCAGCAAGTCCCCCCAACCCACCCACCAAAGCAGGTGATCCAAGAGAGGGCCAATGCAGAAGCCACAGTGTCTTATGACCTAGCCTCAGAAGGACATATTTTTATTTCTTCACTATTGTTTTGGTCACACAGACTAATCCTGATACATTATGGGAGAAGACTGCACAACGTATGAATACCAGGAGACAGATCACTGGGAATCATCTGAAGAAAAGCCTTCAGCACACCCTCATCCTTTTAATTTAATGAACATGAAATACCATTCAATAACTCTCTTCTTAATTCACTCTGGAGAACTCTGTTGTGCCCAAAATATGTACTGGGAAAACCTGAGGAATGGTATAGTGATAGGAAAGCCTTCAGTGACATCTCTCTGGGGTCATGTGACAGTTCACTCTAACGCAGAAATTCTGTGGAGGTCATCAATGTAAAAGCCTCAGAGACACTCAGCCTTTAAGACACACATGGGAAATAATACAACAGAGGAACTCTCATGTAAGAAATGTGGTAAACCCAACAGCACAAAGTGTTCACATATTACTGAGCAAAAATAGTGAGGTTCTCTAACTCTAGTAACTATGGGAAACCCTTGAATGTTGTCTCAGTATTGCAGAGCCTTCCCATTTTTCTACATTCATTAGAAATCTTGTGAATATAAAGAATGAAAGTCTTCAATGATGCCTCTATGGTAGAAAGAATATGAAAGTTCTCCCTAGATGCAAAACCTACAAGGTTACTAATTTTGGAAATTTTTTCAGCGATTCCTCTCTTTGTTGTGAGGACACATACTGGAGGAAAACCCTAGGAATGTAATCAATGTTGGGATGCCTCAACCTCAGCTCATCACCAAGTGGCCACAACAAAATTTATACCAGGAACAAAAAATATAAACATTATGGGTGTGGGGTTTATTACATTTGAGATTACCTTTCTCAGTGTCTCATCTGTATATTGGGCCACTAGCTCATTAGTTTTACATCTTTCTGTTTTGATATAAACATTTATGTCTATACCTATTCCCTAAAATAAATGTTAACTTACGTTTCATAGTCTTAATATATTTATTATAATTTGCTCTTTAAAAGCATCAATACGTTGCCCGCTCAAAAAGGTATTTCCAAGGTTTGATCCCTGTATCAGCCAGCTGCCAAAAATAAATAATCAAAAAGGCATTTCTGAATAGCTCCTGTGTGGTTCAGTTTATCGTAATGGAAATTAGACTATATTTGTAATACACTTTTTTGTAATTTAGTGGCATTTTTGCCAGAGTACATGAACTTTATGATATTGATTCTGTTTTCTCTTTCTGTCCTAATATGGCAAATACTGTTAGCTTTGTTCTCAATGTTCATTCTCCTACTTATTAAAGAAAAAAAAAATTTTTGTTGTTGAAGTTGTCTATGAGCAGTATTGAAACTCTCACTCAATGTGCCAGTCCTTCCCAAAGCCCAGACAGGCTTTGTCCAACTCTGCTGGCTGTGAAAAGTAGATAGAAGTCACTGGAAGGGACACTATCTGTCTTGTTCTCACCTATTCTTTATTCATCTTACCCATTCTTTGGAAAGTGGCTTCAAGGTCTAGAGTTTGGAAAGCTGCTTTTTTTTACCATGATGACAAAAACTACAGTGTAGCAAAAACTCAAAGTGATTTGCCCCACCCCCAGCCTCTCAAAAGCCTCCAATTGGCTGCATCATCTCTGCAATGCTTCTTCTTACAGTCAACTTACATGATTAAAAATAAACCCTAACTGGTCAAAGCCAAAGTAACCTGTTATTTGTTTTTGAGGTGGTAGTTCTATTAACCCAGCTGAATGCAGTATCTAACTGGTAAACCTTTATCCATGTTTCATGTTTCTTTGAAAACAATCTATGTTCTCTGATATTTGGATATAGGGTGTATGCACATTAACACAACCTAATTGTATTTTCAAATATAGTACGTATGTTCAGATTGTTTATCTTCTAGCCTTATTTAGTGGTAGAATTGTAGTAAAGTCTTCCATTATGATTATGGGTTAACATATTCTTTTTTGTAATTCTGTCATTTTTTTATTTATATATTCTGATGTGATGTAACTGTACATACAGGATTAGGTATTTTCATGTGAATTGTTCCTTTTTTATGTAGGGACCATATTTTTACATAGCAGATTATTATAATGCATTAATTAGTAAGTGGTCAAACATTTATATAGCCTTTTCCATAAACCAGGCACTCTTCTAAATGCCTTATGAATGTGAACTAATTGAATACTCATCATAAGTACATACTATTATTATCCTAATTTTACAGATGAGAAGACTGGTATGGCACACTTAAGTTGTTTGCCTGAGTTTGCTGGCTAGTAAATGGTTAAGCCCAGATTTAAACCCAGACAGTTTGTACTGTTAACCATAGCCTATTATACTAGTCCGTTTTTGTTGCTTATAACAAAGTGCACTAAACTGGGTGATTTATAAAGAAAATGAAATTTGTTGCTTACAGTTTCTGAGGCTGAGAAGTCCAAAGTCCATCTGGTGGTGGCGACAGTGACCCAGGGGTCTCATATTGCAAGATGGTGGAAGCAGAGAGAGAGAGAAAGACTCTCCTCTTCTTTTAAAGCCCTCAGAACTATGTCCTGGACCACCATTTTTAATCCATTCACTACTGCATGGCCCTACAGTCCAATCACCTCTTCAAGGCTCCACCTTTCAATGACCATAATAGGATTTCCCAACCTCTTAATAGTCATGGTGGAGGCTAAGTTTCTAACACATAAAACCTGGGGGACACAATTCAAGCTTCAGGGTGTTTTGGGGGGACAGAATTCAATCCGCTATACATATTTATTGAGTATGTTCTGTGTGCCAGGCAAAGCTTTACCACTGAAGCACTTCATCCTAATGGAGGGGAAGATTTCAGAAAAAATCAAGAAAATACCATGTATGTGTTATGTTGAAAACTAAAGCACTTTAAGAGAGTTAAGGGGGATTAGGAACTTGTAATTTTATACAGGCTAGGAAGAGAAAGCCTCTTATTAAGGGCCATTTGAGCAGAGACCTCAGTGAGTTGAGACAGTGAGTCTTATGAATTTGTGCAGCAAGAGCAGTCTTGGCATGGGAAGGCCCACAACAAAAAAGCCAGTATGACGAGTAGAACAAGTAGGGGTGATGAGTTAGCAGTGGACAGTGTTGTTGTCAGCGATGCGGTGGATCCTGATCTTGTTGGGTTATATGAGTCAATGTTAAGGCCTTTTCCTTATTCTTTCAATAAAGTGACATCAGAGTTCCAGCAGGAAGCAGTTGACACCCTCAAATGAGGACAATTCAAGTAGTTTTCATCAAGGGTCTATTCATAGAATTGTGGACAGGATGCAGAAAAAACAAAAAAGGCAGTGCACTAGCCAGTACCCAGGAAGAGCAGAGCTCTATTAACACCCCTAAGCCAGAGGGCACAAAGGGAGGGGATAACACCCAAAATCTGAAGATGAGAGGGTTGCAGAGCTAAGAGGAGGTCAGGGGCAGCATCCAGACCCAGGCTCTTCTGCAAGAAATAATCAAGGTCAGACTCCACTCTCCATCCTTCTCATCTCATGCCTGGGCTCCCCATTGGCCAAATCCACCCAAAAACCATAAGGCAAGGAAAGCCATTGATGTTATTCATGGTGACTAATATTCCTACGTGCAGCAGGGGAGAGGAGGTGAATCCATTGAGGCAAATGGAAACTACCCAGGAATTCCATCGGCTTCTGTAATGCCCTGGGGTACTATCAAAGCTTTGATTCTCCTACCTGAAGCCTAAAACAGTTGCCACCACCACTTCTTCATGCAGGTAGAGTATCCCTTATACGAAGTGCTTGGGACCATTACAGATTTTGGATTCTTGAAGATTTTGGAACATTTGCATTATACACACTGGTTGAGCATCATGTTGGTGCTCAAAATATTTCAGAGTTTGGAGCATTTTGAATTTCAAATTTTCAGACGAGGGATGCTCAACCTGTAAAAGATCAGGGATGGGCTATTGGAGGAAACTGGAAGAAATAACCTAAAGGCTCTGGTTCCCAGAAGGGAAATGCTTCCACAAGGAAACAAAGTAAGAGTCCCATTGGACTTAAGCTATCACTGCTGCTAAAAGACTAACACACAAGGAAAGAGGGTGCTGTACTGGCATGGGTAATTAGTTCTATCCAGAGGATGTAAAGCCACATGGAGGGCAGGAAGGAAAACATTTGGCACTCAGATAATCCACTAGGATGTCTCTTGATATTCTTTCCCCAATTCTGATGATAAATAAGTCACCTGGTGTCCAGACCCCTTAGGCATGAGGATCTGAATCAATTCTACAGGTAAGCCACCTAGACCAGCCTAGGTGCTAGTTAGGGGTGAAGGGAATCTAGGATAGGACAATAGAGGACTGTGATGATGAGTATCAATTGCAGCTCTGGGACAAGCTGCTCAGAGTGAAGGGGGCTGTGTACAATTTGTCCCACTCATCTTTTGTAAGTTTCTCCAGGCACCAAGATCAACCCCAATCATGAGTGCACTGACTTTTAAGAAGCAAGTGCATCTGAGTGGCATATATAGTATGCCTATACTACATATATGTGGTATACATAATATGACTGTGTAGATACAGTGGTGTGTTTCCCTGATTCTTCCTTCAGGACTAAGGCCCTCTACCAGCTGCTGAAAGAGTTGGCTGCTAATAGCTCATGCTGGGAATTCCATTAGGCCAAAGGAAAGTGCCACACCCAAGATTATGGCCTCTCCCCACTGAGAACCCATTTCCAATGCCTGGTTGATGGGGAGGGGGCCGTGTATGAAGACCCAGTTCCTTTGCCTTGATTTGGGACACTCTTGAATAGTCACCCCTAAGCTCCAGAGCTTCCCATGCAATTGATGCAGCCTCCATTTTAATTTATCACAGTTCAATCTCTTTTTCTGCCCAATCCTAGTTCTCTCCTTTAGAGATTGTGTTGCCAATAGTACTACTCAGTAAAGTCCATTAAAAAAAAAATGTTCACCTGACCTGAGAAAAGATAACACTATCAGGTAAAGAACTTCATTCAGATGAGGACCTAGCAGAGATGAAAAAGAACATGGAATGGGTGGTGGGAAAAGATTCTAGGAGAATTAGCAGAGAATAATTAGCAGAGAATAACTGAAAACTGAATAATTGTGAAAAATTTCAGAGGTCACACATGCTGGGAGTTGGAAGTTGCTTTCTGGACTCATCCAGAGTA